TTGACCAAAATAATTACATTTATTATTATGATTTAGAACATTACATTGAAAATCTTATTGTCATAGACGATTACAAAATATAATTTTAATTGGTTATCGATTGGTGAGATTAGTTATTATTTGTTTGTTTTTTTTTTTTACTTGTTTTTTTTTCTTTTCTATTTTTTGTCTTTTTTTTTTTTTTTATCGAAATATCGAGAAAAAGAGACAGACATAGAAAGGAGAGGAAAGAGCGGGAGGTGGGGAAGGGGGAAACAAAAGGAAAAAGAGAAGGAAAACGAAAGAAAATAAAATTAAATAATAAACGATCTCACATATAAAAAAATCAGCGAAAAGAAATAAAAGGCAAAGGTAACATTTGTATTATGAAAAATAGGATAGAAAGCACGCGAGAGAGAGAGATAGAGGGGAGGGAGAAAGAGAGGGGGGAAGAGAGAGAGAGAGAGAGAGAGAGAGAAAGAGAGACAGAAAAAGAAAGAAAGAAAGAGAGAGCAAGAGAGAAAGAGAAAAGAAGTAAAGCGAAGGAATAAAAAGTTTCTCCTCCTTATCCATTTTTTTTTGTTGTTGTTTTTCTGTTTTCTTTCTTTTTTTTTTTTTCTTTTTCTTTTTCTTTCTTGTCTTTTACGCATATGTACTTTTGCGAAGTAAAAAAACGGGATGATCATTGTTCAATGATCATCATGGAAATGGGCGTTCAACTCGTTCCTCGTCCTGAACGTTCTCTTGCAGACAGCACACTGATATCTCTTCAATATCTCAGGACACTCGTACATAACGTGCCTTCGTAATTCCTCAAAATTCATGAAACCAACGTTGCAATCCAAACAAATGTGAAGATCTCGTAGTTCGCTAGGTCCACGTACTTGAATGTTATTTGGTGTAACAAAGACGTTACTGCGTTTCCTTTCGATCATTGTTTCCGTAGGCATTCTATAACGTAGTCTACCCTGCCAATCATTATGAAGCTGATTATGTAGATGATGATGATGATGATGATGATGATTATGTTGTTGTTGTTGTTGCAGTTGTTGTTGTTGTTCGGTTGTCTTTTTGGCTAACGCTGAAACGTCGACGAACTCTATAGGTGCTCTTCTCGTATTAGTCGATCTTCTTGGGACCATCATCATCCTATCGTCTTTCTCCAATTGAATGTTGTATTTCCTTATGTTATCTGAAAAGGAAAGATAAATGTTCTTGTTAGTGTCATTCTCTCTTTCCTCCTCATTCTTGTCTGTCCGATATTTTATTTGTTTGTTTATTCATTTATTTATTTATTTATTTATTTATTCTTCGGTTTTTTTTTCAAACCATTACAGAGTATTAGATAAAATATTATTATTATTAGGTAAAAAATTGGATGATAATAAGCGATTGAATTATTAACAAATAATGTATGATTGTATCGAGTTCAAGGAAAAAAAAAAAAGGGAAAGGAGAAACAGAAAAAAAAGAAAGACACAGAAAATATAATAAGAGAGAGTGAGAGAGAGAGAGAGAGAGAGAGAGAGAGAGAGAGAGAGAGAGAGAGAGAGAGAGAGAGAGGAAGGGCTAGAAATCAGAAGAGAAGGAAAACATTTTTTTTTTGGGGGAAGAAGGACAGTTGTTTAAAAAAAATAGAGTAATAATTTCTAACAAATAAAAATACTGATAAATAACTATATATATATATGTGTGTGTATGTGTGTATATATGCATGTATATACATACATAATATGCATATATATATATATACATAAATGCAAATATATACAAGGAAGTATAAACTCAATATTGATAATTTTATTATATTAATTAACATATATTAGCATGTTTGGTTAAAGTGATATTCCTCGTTATGTACTGTGTTTCGTTTTAATGTGATTTTTAAGGACGTAACGTCTGTAGAAATCCTTCATGCATATTTGACAATGATATTTCGGGGCTTTTCCACATTCGTATCTTTGATGTCTCATCAGATTAGCCATCCATTTGTAACCCTTCCCACATTCGCCGCACATATAATGTTGATCTTCCGGTAGCGTTGTATGGCCACGATGGAGCTTAGGAAAGAACAATGGCGTCGTTGGATTATTTACGGGCCATTCCAATTTTTCAGTCTTCGAAGGATCCATATCGATGATCGGCTTCAATTCTGAAACGTCAAACAGTTTTAGTCATTTTAGAGGGAGAATTTTTATTTTCATATTTTTTATAGATAAAATTTTTTTCATTTTTTTTCGCATTTTTTTTTTTTTTTATCGCATACAAAATAAATCACAAATAATACATTATAATTTTCTTTTCTGCTTTTTCTTTTTTTTTACAATTCGGAAAAAATATTGCGTAAATAGAAAAAAGAATGAATGAATGAATGAATGAATGAATGAATGAATGAATGAATGAATGAATGAATCAATCGATCAATCAATCAATCAATCAGTCAATCATTTCTTTGATAATTATTTTACTTGTTGGCCCTTCGGCCAGATTTTTTTTTATTTGCTTTTTTTCTTCTTTTGCT